TCTTAGAGTAGTTTTGATTTGCATTTCTCTAATTTTCGAGAGATGTTGAACATTTTTTCATATGTTTGTTGACTGATTGTATATCTTCTAAGAAGTGTCTGTTCAGTTCCTTGGCCCATTTATTGATTGGGTTGTTTTTTTTTTGGTGTTAAGATTTTTGAGTTCTTTATATATCCTAGAGATTAGTACTCTACCTGATGTGCGTGTGGTAAAAATTTGCTCCCAAAATGTAGGCTCTGCATTTACCTCATTGGTTGTTTCTTTTGCTGAGAAGAAGCTTTTTAGTTTGAATTCATTCCATTTATTGACTCTTGATTTTAATTCATGAGCTATAGGAGTCTTATTAAGGAAATTGGGTCCTAATCTGACATGATGGAGATTTGAGCCTACTTTTTCTTCCAATAGGTGCAGTGTCTCTGGTTTAATTTCTAGGTCCTTGATCCACTTTGAGTTGAATTTTGTGCATGGTGAGAGTTAGGGGCTTAATTTCATTATGTTCCATATGGATTTTCAGTTTTCCCAGCACCATTTCTTCAAGAGGCTATCTTTTCTCCTATGTATGTTTTTGCACCTTTGTCTAATATAAGATGACTGTATTTATGTGGGTTTGTCTCTGTGTCCTCTATTCTGTACCATTGGTCTACAAGTCTGTTTTGGTGCCAATACCATTCTGTTTTTGTTACTATTGCTCTGAGGTATAGTTTAAGGTCTGGTATAGTGATGCCGCCTGCCTAAGGATTGTTTTAGCTATTCTGGGTCTCTTATTTTTCCATATAAATTTCATGACTGCTTTTTCTATTTCTATGAGGGATGTCATTGGGATTTTGTTTAGAATTCTATCAAATCCGTATATGCTTTTGTTAGTGTGGTCATTTTGACAATATTAATTCCACCTAACCAAGAACAAGGGAGATATTTCCATCTTCTAAGGTCTTCTTTAATTTCTTATTTTAGCATTCTGTAGTTTTCATCGTGTAGGTCTTTCACTAAGTTAAGTCCCTGGTATTTTATTTTTTTATTTTTTATTTTTTAAGGCTATTGTAAATGGGGTGGTTTTCCTCATTTCTCTTTCAGAGGATTTGTCACTGATATACAGAAATGCACTTGATTTATGGGTGTTTATTTTATATTGTGCTACTTTGCTGAATTCATTTATTAGTTTTAGAAGTTTTCTGGTGGAATTTTTGGGATCTTCTATGAGTAGAATCATATCATCATCAAATAGGCTAATTTGAGTTCTTTTCCTATCCGTATCCCTTAAATTTCTTTCGACTAATTGCTGTGACTAGTCTTTGAACAACTGTGTTAAATAAAAGTGGTGAAAGAGCGCATCCCTGTCTTATTCCAGGTTTTAG